CACACACACACACACACACACACACACACACACACACACACACACACACACACACACACACACACACACACACACACGTATATTAAAATCTTTTTTTGCTTTTCTTTATTGTGGTAGTGATTGAACCCAGAGATTTATGCTACCAATGGAGTATGCTATGCCAGAACTAACTTCATTCCTTCTTCTTCCCCATCCCTCCTTTCCTCTCTATCTGCCCCTCCCCTTCCTCTCTTCTGTCCTTTCTTTTTCCTCGCAACATTTCTCTCCACTTTCCTTCTTTTTTCACTTTACTTCCCTTCCTTTTCTCTATGCACTTCTCCCTTTTATCCCTTCTTTTTTTTATCTTTGCTGGGAAGTCAAACTCAGGATTTCATGAAGGCTAGACAAGAGCTTTAATTCATTATTTTTGCTTGAACTTGGGATCTGGAAACTGTCTGAGCACTTTTTCTCAAGGCTAGAGCTCTACCACTTGAGCCACAGCTCTACTTCTGGCCTTTTGGTGGTTAATTGGAGATGAGAGTTTCACAGACTTTCCTAGCTGGCTTTGAACTGCACTGGCCTTGAGCTGAAGAGCTCAGGGACAAGAGCCCAGGTCCAGAGTTCAGGTCCCATAAATGAGTAGAGTGCTTGCCTTGCATGTATGAGGCCCTGGGTTCAATTCCTCAGTACCACATAAGCAGAAAAAGCCAGAAGTGGCACTGTGGTAGAGCACTAGCCTTGAGCTGAAGAGCTGAGGGACAGCACCCAGGCCCAGAGTTCAGGCCCCACCACTGACAAAAAAAGTCTAATTTTGAAAATCCAGCCATTATAATATTTCTTTCATTAGAAATGATTTGTGAGAACATTAATGGGAAAATCCTATATCAGAAATATTTTTATCAGAGGTAGGTCTTATTTTTTTCTGTTTGGTTCAAGCTTGGGCACTGTCCCTGAGCTTTTGAGCTCAAGGCTAGTGCTCTACCACATTTTTACCTTGAGCTACAACTCCACTTCTGGCCTTTTGTTAGTTAACTGGAGGTAAGAGTTTCATGGACTTTCCTGCCTAGACTGGCTTTGAACTGCAACCCTCAGATCTCAGCCTTTTGAGTAGCTAGGATTATGGGGGTGAGCCACTAGCTTTGCCAGAGGTTCTTTTTTTTTTGGGTCCAGTCGTGGGGCCTGAACTCTGGGTCTAGGCGCTGTCCCTCAGCTCTTCAGCTCAAGGCTAGCGCTCTACCACTTGAGCCACAGCGCCACTTCT